ACGGCAGGGTAGGTGGCAGAAGTCGCACTTGACCGCGACATTAGAGCAGCGCATCTCCGCCAGCGAAACCAGAGCGGCGTATCATCTCTAGCAGCTCGCGCACGGACATCACGAACGGCACGCCGTGCAGCTTCAGGGTGGGTGGGGCATTAGCAGAAGTCGCACATGCCCGTGGAATTGAAGCGGCGCATATCCCCCTGAACCTCGCATGGGGTCACATCGACGGGCACGCGGTGCGCATCGCGGGGGTCAGGGCACGCGACAGAGGCGCATTGCTATCGAGACCAGAGCGGTGTTATTTTTGGTAGCTCGCGCTGGGCCCCCTCGAAGTGAAGGGCACGCCGTGCAGCCTCGGGGAAGGCCAGGAACCTGGCAGAAATTGCACGTGCCTGCAGCGCGAAGGCGCGACGGGGGCAAGGAGGGGGGGGCGGGGTGGGGAAGGAAGGGGAGAAGACGAGAGAGGAGGGGGAAGAGGGAGGAGGGGGGAGGGGGCGACGGAGGGATGAAGAGGAGGGGACGGGACTATACATCAGCCACCCTTCTGGGGGCCCCACGCTGTACGGCAGCGGCATCACCAGCGTCGTCCGCTGCACCCGCGCGTGCGGAAACCTCTCCCTGGAGCACCAGACGAAAGAGCGGAAAAGGAAGGGAGGGGAGGGGGAAGGAGGAGGGGGGAAGGGAGGGGGGGACGAGGCGGACGAAGAGGAAGTAGGGCACACATGCGGGCAGGCATTTTCGGCAGAGCTGGCGTGCGCGAAACCTGCGCGTGCCAATCCCACGAAGCTCACCTTGGCGGCCAGCTGCTCGACGCAGTCCACGTCCGTGAGGGCCCACGACACGAGGTCCACTTGCGGCGCCCACGCCAGCAAGGCAGCTGCTCGCCACGCCGCTGCGCAGGGGCACTCGGCCAGCAGGTGGTGGAGGCACGAGGTATGCGCACGGCACAGCGAGCACACCTGGGGCACGCGCTCGGCAGGGACCCCCCAGACGCCCACGGGGATCTGCGAAGTGATGCGGGCCGTGCACCACGCCCTGTGGAACCTCCACGTGGTCCTGCCCCGCGGGACCCGGCACCGGTCATCAGGCCAGCAGGTGCGGAGCGGGAGGACGGCAGCGATCGGCACCGAGCCATCGTCGCCGAGTCGCGCCAGCTGCGCGCAGAACCGCGAGCGTGCGGCCTCCCGCGCGCGGGGGGGGGCCACGCCGCGGCGGGCCCACGAGCGGACCGCCCGGCGACGTGCGCCCGGGCCCGCCTCTGCTGCCTGCGCCAGGGATGCCGGGGGCGCCTCTGCTGCGAAGGCGCGGGCAACCTCCGCCGCATGAGACAGGCAGCGGCCGTCCTCCCTGACGAGGGTCGCCTGGACCGCCGGCGCGGTCGGGGAAGTCTGCGGCAGAAGTAGCAAGCGGGCCCATGCCAAGACGATGCGCTGCGCCACCTTCGCCGCGACCCGCGTGGGCATTCGGGTCTCCAAGAACACGCGCAGATGCTCGGACGATCCGAAGGATGTAGCAGGCAACAGCCCCAATACGATCTTCGCCACGTCGTAGTATGTTCGGTTGAGCGTGGCGTTCACGTGGCTCCAGCCCTGAGCGCGGCTGGCAAGAAGTTCGCAGCCGCAGAGGGCGGTGGACTCCGCGCGGGTGGGCAGCTGGTCGTGCAATAGCGGCAGCCCGAAACCTCGGTCGGTCAGTGCGGCGGCCAATCGACGCGCGCCGTCGCGTAGCTTCGCGCTAACGCGCGCCGTTTTGGAAGCGACCCGCCGTCCATCTGTGAAATCATTGCCAACTTTGAAGCTTCAGGATCACAAATGGCAAGGAAGTCTCAGGCGAAACGTCGGGCCCGTCCTTCCGACTGGCGTCGGTGTGCAACAGGAAGGAAGGAGGAGTTATTCATAAGGATCAGGAATGGACGTGGAGGAGGAGGTGAAATTGGAGGAGGAAGGGGGAGGGGGAGAGGGAGGAGGGGGGAGGCCCCCAGGGGAAGAGGAGGAGGAGGACGAGGAGGAGGAAACGGAGAAGGAGGAGGAGGAGGAGGAGGATGAGGAGGAGGAGGAGGAGGAGAAGGAGGAGTGATTTACCAGGAAGACAATGGAGAGGGGACGGAGGGGGGTTGCCTGGGTTTCGCCGCCCTCGGCCGACCGCGACGGCGCCCACCGTGGGCGGAGGCGAGGGCGTGCGCGCCGCCGTGCTCTTCCACGAGGACCCCTCGGTGGCCCCGCTGCTCTCCTCTTGTGGGCGACGGGCGGCGGCCACAGTGACGACCACGACCACGGCCACGGCGGCAGCGGCGAGCGGCGAGTGGCCACGGCCACGACCACGGCCACGGCCACGGCCATAGTGACGACCACGGCCACGGCCACGGCGGCGGCGGCGGCGGCGAGCGGCGCAGCGACCACGGCGGCGGCGGCGAGCGGCGAGCGAGCGAGCGAGCAAGCGAGGACGACGCCGGCGCCGACGACGACGACGACGACGACGACGACGACGACGACGACGACGGTCGGAGCACGCAATATATCAGGTGATTCGGCTGACCATTGTGGTTTTTTGTACCTTACAGGGGACGTCGAGTTGCAGCCCGGGTGTGCAGTGTGGCATGATGTTCTACTGTCACGACGTTGGCGCAGAGTGTTTTTGCGACGCTGTCGTCGCCCCCCCTCCTTTTCTTCGATTCTCGCCAGATGTTTCCCCAATGGTATCAGCATTGGTGCCGGCGGTCCTGCTCACCCGCCTTCCAGGCGAGAATCCCTGTCGATTCTGGCGTTGTTTGTGGTTTGGCGGATATTTTTCAATGCGTGTTCAATTGGTGTATCTTGTTCCAGTGCGTTTTCCTTGCAACAGGTGGCCAAACTATATACACCAATGCGCCGGGGCCCGTTTCCCGCTTCATTGGTAGATATTGTGAGAGGGGTTTTCGGGCCTGCGCTGTCAGGGCCCGCCTGTATTTTCAGAGCCGCTTCACGTGGGGCACCGTGCCACGTTGCTTTTCCCGATGTTTGTAGGACCCCATGCGCAGTGCAGCGCATTACGCCTTCGTTCTACCTCGCCTTGCCGTAGACGGCCCGCCCGCGCTGGCACCCTGAAAGCCGCAGATCCGCATGAATGTTGCGTGTGCGTTTTTGCATTATTCCAGCGAAACGCCTTCCTGGATATATTTCACCCTCCCAGGACGACGACGACGACCACGACCACGACCACGACCACGACGACGACGACGACGACGACGACGACGACGACGACGACGACGACGACGACGACGACGACGACGGCGGCGGCGGCGGCGGCGGCGGCGGCGACGATGACGGCGGCGGCGGCGGCGGCCACGACCACGACGACCGCGACCCCGCGACGGCGGCGGGCGGCGACCACGATCACGGCGGCGGCGGCGACCACCACGACGGCAGCGGCCCGCGGGGGACCGCCGCGTGGAGGATACGTTCGACTGCGCCATGATAGTGCTCAACGGGGAGGGAGCGGAGATGTCCGAGGCCCCCTTACTTGGCATCGCTTGGACGTGTGCGTTTTTTCCTCGGCGAGGACCATCGAGGAGCATCCTTGATCATTTGGAGAAAAAACCACGCACGAAACCGAAAAAAACACAGGAAATGGACGTCCGAGCGGTGGCCCCCTTAAGCGCGCGTCCAGTCGGAGTGGAGAGCTCCGCCTCCCCTGCAGCGCGCCTCCGAGAGAGGGCGCCATTCCATCGTTGTCGCCCTCTTGGGCCTCCAGGGGGCCCTCGATGCCAGGGCTGGGTTCGCCTCGGAGTCCGAGTCAGAATACGCCATGGCAGGAATCCAGGGGAGCAGCGGTTTTGTTTTGCCTTCAGGGGATGAGATGCGAGAGGAAGGGGGAGGGAAGAGGACGCTGGGGAGGAGAGGATGAAGGAGACGGGGCGGTCGAGAGGCAGTTGAGCAACTGGGCGATGGTTCGTGTTCGTTCGGCGCATAAGGATTTGTCTGCTATCTCTTCTGCCGTATTGATTGATGGCTCGCCGCGCAGACGAACAACAACGCTCTGGATTTGATGTACATTATGGCCTCGGGCGAAGATGGCCAGGCCTGGCGTCTTGTCTCTGCCAGCCATGTCTCAGCGCATGCCGAACCCAGACTGATTATGCAGTCGACTTGCCTTACGACGTGAATCGCACATGATGAGCACAAGAACACCTCTTTGGTATTGAGGGGGCGTGGCTGATGTATCTCGCCCCCTGGGACAGGGCCAGCGCGACAGGAGGGGGCGAAGACACGATGCCGCCGCCGTCCTTGCTTCGGGCGTTCCTCTGTGGGCGCAGGACAAGGGCTGAGCCTCCAAGGGGCACCCGGACACCTCCAACCCCGAGCCGATCCAGGGACGCGGTGGGGCGCCATTCAGGGAAAGCGAGGGTGCGGCGAAGTTGCAGGGGTGTTGCGCAGACGGCCCCGACCTTGGCTTCCCCGTGTCCAGTGCGCGGGGGCTCGTCTCGGTCGGCGGGCTCCCTCAGCCACGCGCAGAGGGGGGTGGGTGGGCGGAGGGGGGGGAGGGCTTCTTATAGAAGCATCCCTTCTTCTGAGAAGGCGCGGGCCGTATCTATAGATGTAAGGCCAGCGCCTTCTAAGAAGCAGCCTTCTTCTGAGAAGCCCGTCCCCCTCCTCTCCACGCGATCTGGACTGATCACAACCACTTCGAGCCGACCGTCAACCTTTTCGGACCGATTACAACGGGTTGTGATCGGGCCGATGTGGTTAGGATGTTTTGAGGAAGCTGCAGTATTGGAGAGCTTCTGGATGCAGTGAACTCACCTAGTGCACCCGAACAACGACGGTTCACCACCTCTGTGTTATGCAATATATGTTGTGCAATCTATGTGATGCAGTGTATGTGGTGCTACGTGGCGCAATCCACGTGGTGCAATTTATGCGGTGCGCAATGTACGCGGTGCAATCGACATGGTGCAACCCAAGTGCTGCAATATATCAAATGGCTTTTGGCCTATCCCGCCACCGTGCATAAATGGTGGGTATGCAGCCCATTAGATGTTCGTTGGGATCTTGCGGGAGGCCTCTCGGGGGCCTCTTGGAGGCAGTCTGGACGCCTCTTGGGAGCTCTTTTGGGGCCTCTGTTGGGCCTCTTCGGGGCATCTTGGGGCCTCCTCTTGGGGGCCTCGTGGGGCATCCTGGGCGCCTCTTGGGGCCTCCTGGGGGCCTCACCGGGTGGAAGGCTAGAATTTTCGATTCGTGTCCCTTCTTTGAGACCCTTTTGGGGCCGTCTTAAGGCCCTGTTGGGCCGTTGTGAGCGCCCCTTAGGCCGTCTTGCCTTTTGGGGCGGTATTGGGGCCTCCAGGGCAGTCTGGGAGCGTCGGGAAACCGAAAAGACGAGAATGCCAAAATCTTTCACTAACCAAAGGAACATCAATGATTTTGGCCTCTTGGGATGCCTCTTGGAGGTCTCTTTGGACGTCTTGGAGTCATCTTTGAGCGCGTGGGAGCGATCGTTCGGCGACTCTGGTCCTCTCGGACTGTCTTGGGGGCTTCTTGTGACGGTCCTTTGCCAGTTATTTCGGGACTCCTTCGCAGTTTACCCACTAATGGCGATCTCGGTTAAGATTTCTGCTTGATTTGGCGGCCCGCCCGCCCGACCCGACCCGCTCGGTGGGGCCCGCCCGCCCGACCCGCCCCATGGGGCCCGCTGTCGCAACTCGTTCCCGTTTTCACGTTCCGCCCGAACGATGCGCCAGTTTTTGTCTGCCCGCCCCGCCCGCCCGACCCGCCCGCACGTGTCCATTGTTTATTTTCTTCCTGACTTTCGTTCCCCCTTCCTGCTCGCCCCTCTCGTCCTCAATCCTCCACCCTCCCTCGTCGTAGTAGTAGTAGTAGTAGTAGTCGTCGTCGTCGTCGTCGTCGTCGTCGTCGTCGTCGTCGTGGTCGTGGTCGTCGTCGTCGTCGTCGTCGTCGTAGTAGTAGTAGTAGTAGTCGTAGTCGTAGTCGTAGTCGTAGTCGTAGTCGTAGTCGTAGTCGTAGTCGTAGTCGTAGTCGTAGTCGTAGTCGTAGTCGT